CATACAAAAAAAACAAAAAACAAAAAAGCTTCTATTAAATTGGGTATGATTAGGTTTTATGTCTAATTCTTTTTGGCAATTTTTAATCTCGGGCAGCAACTTGAATTTTGTATTGCTTTTCTGGTATATCTTTTTGTCCTCTGTAATCCATATAAACTAGTTTATGATCTTCGCGAATATAGTTTGTTTTGTTGAACGCATTGTGCAAATGCATTAAGTGAATTGAAAACCAAATTTTATGTTTTTCTATTGAGTATCTGTTGAATTCTTCTTCTTTGAGCTTAAGTTGTGGAGAATGTATAACAGTTCAATTACACTATTTCCTGATTATAGCTTGCTTACAGCCTGTCATAAATCTTTACCCAAGTTTAATTTTTACTTGTAAACTCATCAGTTCTTTCCAACTCCGTAAAGTCATTGACATTTTTGTTCACAAAAACATTTATGACAGGCAATTTTATTTTCTATTAAAAAACAGAGGAAAGAATACGATATAGAGGTTCTGCTTTCCATTTGAATCTAAAAGAATATATCCCTATTTCAATGTAGGAAGTCGGGTGCAACCATGCTCAGAGTGTAGGATTTTCCACTGATGGGTTTGCCACAACCACTACCATGAGAAAACTTCACCTTATTTGGGTCACCTCTCGCATGCATATTGAGATATATAAGTATCCAGCGTGGTGAGTTCTGTATTTTTATCTAGTTATGTATTCAATCTGTTGCGTTCAGATTTCTATCTTGCTTAAGCTGTAGTTTGTTTCAGGGGTGATGTTGTTGAGATTGAGACGTGGTGCCAAGCAGAAGGAAAGATTGGAACCCGACGTGATTGGATACTTAAGGACTTGGCTACTGGTTCTGTGATAGGGAGAGCTACTAGGTAAGTATTTTGTAGTTGACACCTTATCTTGAAAAAGTATTAGAGTCACCTGCAAGTAGTGTTGCTATTCTCACATAACCAAAGAGGTTCATGTGTCTTACTCAGAATTTGTTATGTTCCCTTGTACTTTGATACTATAGAGACTTATGATTCATTCAATAGACTTGATATGGAATAAGAGGCTTAATTGCAATACAAGCAGTCTCACCCATTTTACTGGGGAGGACTGGATTTGAAAAAAAAATTACCATATGCTGAAAATTTCCTATCTGAACCCATGAGAAAATAGATTTGAGTAATAATGACTTTGATGTGAATCTTTTGACTTCTTGATTTCATAGCTCAGTCTGCTCCCTTTGGCTTTCCATAAATTTCACACCAATTGAAACAGATGATAAAGGTTAATGTTTGGTAGAAAATTTCTAGAATCGATCTTCTTCGCCTAAGATAATTAAGGATTCCAAAATGTGGGGTGATCTATCACAAATGACTGTGCAGGTACTCTAGAAGAAATATTTTGTCATAGAGAGTTCTACAGAAATTTAGCTATTGCTACTGATGAATGCCAGAGTTATAAATCTTTATTAAGTAAAACTGAGAACATATACGTGCATGGGTTGAATATTCCGATTAGAGCAGCAAGAAAATTTTGAATTACTTTGCATCTGTGCTTGAGTATCTACATTAATTTCTCTGTCTCTAACTAGTATTGATTTTTTTTAACTTAATGTCTATTCACGGATCTTATTTTATTTTATTTATTTATTTATTTTTATTTTTATTTTTATTTTTGAATGTTTTGCCTCACATCTGATATTCTCTTAAATTGCATTACAGTAAATGGGTGATGATGAATCAAGACACTAGAAAGCTTCAGCGAGTAAGTGATGAAGTAAGGGAAGAATATCTCGTCTTTTGTCCAAGAACTCCTAGGTATGTTTCTACAGTGTTATAAATTGATGTTCCACTATTAAATTTAGTCTTCCTCGCTCACAAAGAAAATATTTTTTATTTAAAATGAATAGGACATATTTAAAATGAATAGGACAATATTGAACTCGTTTTCACAAGATCTTTTTTAGTTCTTGAAATTATCGAATTTTGGGTGAGATCTGTTGCATTTTTCTTATTAAAAACTTCAAAAAGCAATATCGGGAAAATGCCAACTGTCAGTTACTAGTTGTAAGCCCATGCCCATATTTCTTGATTATATGGTACTATCTCGTTATTCATACATATATACCATATTTTTCCTATTATTTTCGTTGTCGAGTACTTCATAACTTAATGTTGCTTAAAACATTTGAATGTTGTAACCCATTTGAGCTTGTGCATAATCCAGATTTGCCTTTCCGGAGGAGGATAACAGCAGCCTGAAGAAAATCCCCAAACTCAAAGATCCTGCACAACATTCAAGATCAGGACTTGTGGTAAGTATTTAAATTCAACGAAATCTTTTTGTCTTTCAAATGATCCTATCCCAAATAATCAGCAGCTAAAGTAATTATCTTATAAGTCTTATAACTAGTAGCTAAAGTTCTTATACATCGTTGGTATTTGCAGCCCAGGAGAGCAGATTTTGATATGAACCAACATGTAAACAATGTCACTTACATTGGCTGGGTTCTTGAAGTAAGTAGAATCTACGAAGCTTGTTTCATTATTCAAACAATTAGTTCCTATGCTAGTAGGATTTTATTATTTAGCTGACGCATGAGGCCTAAAAATCATGAGATAATCTGCCAGAATTTAACTGACTTTGGCGTTCACACTAATATCATTATCCAAGAAATGAAATTTTTGATTTTTGATGATTATTTTATTTTCATTTTCATCTATTGTTCAATAATGTTCAAGTTTAATCTCTCAGAGTATGCCCCAAGAGATCATTGACACCCATGAGCTACAAACAATCACCTTAGACTACAGGAGGGAATGCCAGCATGATGACATGGTTGATTCCCTTACTAGTTTGGAACTGGCAGGCGACAGTGAAGAACTTCTACGTTCTGATGGCACCAATGGCTCTGCCACTATTAAGCACCAGGATCATGATGGATGCAATTTTCTCCATTTCTTGAGACTGTCAAACTCTGGGCTTGAAATTAATCGGGGTCGCACTGAGTGGAGGAAATTACGTCGGTGAGGTATTTTATTAAATTATGTTCTTAAAATTGTATTGAACTTTTTTGTTCAGTTCTGTTTCTTTATTTTTGTTGAGTATGTAATTTAGGAGGCTTGCCTCTCTGTTCCTGTGTTTTTGTTACTTTTGATAATGAAAATTTTTATAGGGTAAAAAACTTGTTAGTAGTTTTGATTGATATTGCAGTCACTATGAACTTACTACGTTGTACGTTGTGTGATGCTTTCATGTTTGGAGGGGTTTATTTTTTATTTTTTCCTTCATTAATTTCTATTCTGACTGAAGATTTCTTCTGAAATGTAGTGCAATTATTTGCTTCGGGATGTTGTTTAGCCTCAATATGCTCGATGTATTGCTAGAAGCTATAGATGATCTTATGACCTAAACATACCCCATTTCTTTGTTTCTACATGTTACAAAGTTGTTCTTCTTTCAATAATAAAATAGGCTCTTCTAACCGTTGGATGAGTCTTGTTCTGATGATATTAGTCTCTCAAATCATGCTGATCTTATTAGGTTCTCGATTTTTTTTCAGTGATACGCCATACCTTTTTTTTTTAAGTTTCTATAGCCAGGTTAACTAAAGCTCAAGGAGGGAGGAGGGTGAGTGGGACTGATTGAACAGAAATTGACAATTGGAACAAGGGACTGATATCTAAAAACTTACAGAAAAAGGAGATTCATTCAATAAAATTCATGCAACTGCATTGGTTTAGAAAATGTCATATATGCAAATATTTACCCTTGAATCGCGACGAGGCTATTTTCATGACTTTTGTTTTTTTTGAATAAATATTGTCATGACTTGAATCTATATTTTCCCAAGGATTTGGATCGAACTCAACCAACAGAGAGACCCCTTTCTCAGATCACAGCCCTCTATTTATATTTAAGGACGATCACAATTCATTCCAGATGGAACTATCATAACCCCTTTCTCTCCTCTTGGATTTCATTTATTTCTATGCTTTGTTGAGTATAAATCACAATGTATATTGAAAGTCTTATTTATATTTATATTTATATTTATATATATATCCCTTCATGCGGTGCGGCTAACTTTAAGCCAATCCCTACTCAAGGATGACAAATTGACGCCAGGGAGTTGACGAGAACTATGGAAGATGAAAGTCTTTTAAAATCAAAGGATACAATAAATTGGGTAGGTATTATTATGACAAAAGGCGCTCGTTGGGGGGAGGTACAACACCGAGACTCGTGAGCGCCAATTATTGCACGCGTATCGTAGATAACCGTTTTATGCTGCACCATCATTATGTACGTATCGTAAGCTCGTGTAGTTATTTATTATCACAGCAGGTGCTGTGTTGTCAACATTCTATAGGCGGCTGACACCACCTGAGGCCAAATAATTAGATTTCGGTAATTAGGACCTAAATCAAGGGTCTTTACATGGTATATAATTCCTATGAGAGCACCACCTCATGTGATGAGATGATCTAATCTGATCCCTTCTTGAGACGTCAATCCTCTCTCCTCCCTTCATAAAGGTTTTAAAGGGAGGTCAATCCCTCACCTCATTGCGCCTCCCCTCACCCCCCGACCTTCTCTTCTCAAACCCCCTACAAACAAAGCTGGTTTTGTACGGCGTACGAAGAGGAGAGGTGAGGCGAGAGGAGATGCGACAAGGTGCAAAGAAGTATATATATATATACACATCTAGTGCTTTTTGTTTGATGGGATGAGAGGAGAGTTTGAAAACGCGTTACTTTGTAGTTCATTTTCACGCTTTTCTTGAACTCCTCCGATTTGGAGGGGGTTCTTCTCTCTTCTCATTTCTAGTTGATTTTAAGTTGTTCCATACCCTACCTCGCTCTATCTTCCCTTCTAAAAACCCTTTACCAAAGGCGTTTTATTATTTCTCCCTCCCCTGTATATACATATATCATCCACGTAAACACCCTAGTCGCCTCATGCAAAAATCATATGGATCCCTAGCTGTTAGAGATCACATGCATAAGTACGGATTAGAAAAAAAATAATAACAACCATAAATAGAAAATTAGGACTAAGGCCTAACAGGCTGAATCTTTTGAATTAAGTTTGCTCGTAACCTATAGACAAGAGACAACAATCACATAACCTTAAAGAGTATATGATCCTAAGATCGATTAATATAAGAGAATATCAAACAGATTTACGTACACTCTGAGATTTCGATTATAAATGAGTCTAAAGGAGAGACAAAAGTAATAGCAAAAATATAAGAAGGTTGATTGTTCTTCTTGACACAACAAATATACTCACGATTATTACCAACAAAAACGCGTAGGACAGAAAAAGAATACACTTTGAGAGGGACAACTTATAAAAATATAACCTCCAGTATAGATATTTACAGTCCAGACTTGCTAATTTTTTCCGCATGCTCCTCATTTTTTGCGCCAGCTAAAGCAGCAACAGCCCTGTTTAAAGTAAAACAAAGAAAGAGAAGGGAAAGATAAATAAGTAAAAGAGCCATTACCAAAGCGATTAGTGACCAGAAATCGTTTCACTTTTTTGGCATAATAATGGTTAATGGATGGTTCAAATAGACTGGTAGTGTTATGGGACATATTTGTTCTACGAATATATGACTTGATAAGTTAAGCATCTCAACCAACCCCATAAGCCGACGCCCCCGTGTCGGCGCGAGAAGGGGTGACAGTCGACATAAGAGATCATGTCCTCCCAGACGAGTCAACATCTTTACATCGACTCGAGGGACGGCTATTAGCTGAAACGAGACGACATTCCAACCAGTCGGATAGGCCGACACTCCTGAGTCGACACAAAAGGCGGTGTTGGTCGACACGAAAGTCAGCAACTCAAAGATATGACCCTAAGGACATTGCTTCTCGACGAAGCTAAAGGGTTGTCCTTATCTTAAACTCGTCAGCATAGGTGTCACTTCTCAACATTGTTTAAACTTTTATGGTCATCATTATGTCTCCGTCCTTAACTGTCTCGAAGACTTGTCGGTTGCTGGCTCCCAATGTTGTTGAAGTGATCTTGAAGTGATCTCCCGCCACTCACAAGCCAACACGTGCGCAACAAATGATGACTTATTTTCCAACTCATTCCTCCTCGCCGCCTCACTACCGCCTTACTGCATACTCACGAAGTAACCAATCTACCCTCGACATCCCCCATAAATACAGATGCTATTCGTTATAACTAGAGGTAGGCAATCAAAACTCTCCCCCCTAACCTAAATCTCAGAGATCATCAACTCTAACAAGAATACATAGTTCCGTTACTCCACTTATGCTCAAGTTCATCAACTGACTTGATCGTTAGAGGTACCATGGGGGAACTTATCCCCGTCCTCTTACGATTCTTTGTGTGCAGATTGCTCAATCATCCTAAGTCCGAAATCAGGCATAAAGTCAAAGAAGAAAGCGGCCCCTTACAAACTCTGTGATTTTATTTGACTGTGTGATATTTAACATCAACATGTATGATGTAGGCATTGAAGATAATGGCAACACAACTTGAATGAATACAGGAAACAATCACCACAATTTTTTTTTTTACTTGACAAAAAATCACCTAGCAGTCCAATGTACAATCTCAGATTAGTCTGGGATTGCCTATTCCTGAAGAATTCGTGTGCTGATATAGTAAGAAATGAATAATTGGATAAGATTAGCTTAGCACTAGTTTAGCCAGTAATATATAATTACAGGTATGAAAAGAACACTTACAGATGCTTTATTACCGCTGCTTCCATGACCATAATCGTTGAGATATGCTGAATCATTGGTAATATGTGGAACCTTTGATGATCCAGTCTGCTTCTCCTTCCTCACTTTGTCAAAAATGTGAGTAAAACCTTCACCTGACTCTGGATCGTTTTCATTCCACTCCCCAAACTTCGGCACGGTCGAGCTTTTATCAGGCTATATAAGACGAAAAGAAAATACCATCTCTACATGAGTTTGTGAGAATTTACGATAGGGTTTGTTCCAAATATACCCCTCAAATCAAAAGTATTTTAAAAAGTACCCGCCAAATCATATATTAGAAGATATCATATATTTCCTACCTTCAATAAAGAAGTCTAGTTTCGGTGTATTAGTTAAATATAATCCCTCCTATTTACGTCTTTCCTCTATTTTAGGTTTCCTTTTCTTATTAGAGTTTTACTGTTATAAATATATATTCTAAAATATGGTGTATTATCCTCTTCTTTATCATCAAAAGAATACAGCTTTCTTCTCTCTTTGTTTAATTTCCACATTACCATAATTGTCATTTTGACCTCCTATTGGATTCATCTCTCAATTTTATTCCCTATCCTAAGTTTTAGGGAACAAAATTAGAATATGCTTTAAAATAATTAACCTTTCAGAAATAACTACACCACCTCTGGTTAAGTTTATTAAACTTTATTATTATTGTTGTTGCTGCTGCTATTGTTATTGTTGATGTTGATGTTGTTGTTAGAATACTATTAATAGTACCTCCTCCTTTCTTCTTCCATCTTTAATCCCCCAAATCATGTACTTTCCTATGATATTAAGATTAATTATTTTTTAGTTTAATTAACTTAATTGAAATTATTTTAGTCATTTCTCCATATTGTTAGAATGCTATTAATAGCACATCTTTCCCTCCTCTCCTCTTTCATATTTAAAACCGAAATGCTGTATTTTCCAACAATGTTAAGATTAATTATTTTAAATTCAATTAACTTAACTGAGATTATTTTAGCCATTTTTAGAAAATAATTGTTTGAACAAAATATTCCAGGTTATTCCCTAATATCTAGGGAGAAGGTAAAATGATGGATGACTACAATTTGGAGGATAAAAACAGCACTTACGATTACTTGAAGAGTTAATTTTAAAATACTTAAACAATAGGGGATATACAAAAAAAAGTTTAGGCGTCTACCGACTCATCTCCTCGATCACCAGGCCTCGTCTTGAATCTGCTGCCAGGGGTGTTTGGGGCAACCCCGTGTCCACCTTCCAATGAACCCCTCCGTTCCCAAGAAGACTTGGCTTGATTGCGACGAAGTGGAGATTGCTCAACACTATGGTCTGATCCACCACTCGTTCGACTTACTTTCCTTGGGGGATCGCCATGTCTACCATAAGGTGAGTCGGTGGAGGATCGACGAGCCCTTGCATCCTGATGTGTCGTTGAGTGTTCTGGAACGTGAGCATGCTGCTGCAGCCAAATACATACACAATTACATTGCAAATTCCAAAAGCTCATTCAGGCTAGGTAGCATGGACGCTTTAAACATGAAGTTCTTGTCACCTTGTGAGTTACCAGACACGAAATGACCCGTGCCCTGTTCTATGTGTGCTTGACATGCCAATTTTTTTGTTATGGCTGACTATTTACTCAACTAGTCTAAGCATAATTTTCCCATCAAATAGCCTAAGACTCACACATGAGTAATACATTACAAATTATACAGCAAATTTGCCAATGCTACATTTCAAAGTGCCTAGAAGAGAACTCTGCAGCTTACTTTTCAAATTAAACATCGTTCGAATGAAACTTAATGGTGATAGCAGATACAACTCAAGTAGTGAGGCGTAAAAACAAACCTAGATTACTTCGGACCTAAGAGGATAGTTGCTACTTCTTGCGTCTCAATTACATAATAAGCCCGTACGCATGTCTCAATTACCAACAAACGCATGTCTCAATTGCCAACAAGTGACTAGATTTCAACCACTTCTGCCCCTTCACCGTTGGATGTTTCCACACGGATGTGACACAGTTAAACCTACTTGGCTAAGCAAACTAAAAGGGCAATATCTCATAATCTTAATGTTTTGAACACAGTAAAGAAATCTTCCTATACTGTTTTTGATGATATTGCCATTTGTATTTGTGAGTGGTGCTCTTCTTTGTTTGATACTAGATTTAAGAACTCGGCACTTGCAAGGCCACTTTTCTGTGTGAGCACTAAAAAACCCAACGAAAAAATAACCCCCCCCCCCCCCAACCCACCACCACTCCATTACACAAAAGTGGAAATGGTTGGGGGTGGTGTTTTTTTTTTTTTTTTTTTTGTGTGTGCTGTGTGTGTGGGGGGGGGGGGGGGGGGGCGAGGGGGGTGTGTTTGGTTGGAAAAAAACCTTTAAAGAAAAAAGGATCTTTCAACATCCTATCTGTGGTTTTCAAATAACAAGTACCTAAAAGACTCACAATCCTGAAACACTCATTCAAAACATTAAAATTATCCCTTAAATAGACAAATATCACTCGTAACCTCACGTAAAATTGATCTAAGAGAAGCATAAGACTGTTCTTTTATCTAAAACATCAGAAACTATGAAGAATTAGATCCCGGAAACTTGAAATATAAAGCAGTGAAAATTGTGCCTAGCGGAAGGTAACATTCCCTTGTCACAAAAAATTTAGCCCGAGGTAGAACAAGAGGAAAACCAAGATTCCCGAAACCACTGGGAATCTCATGCCTTTTGGTTGCATAGGTGGTGCCTCAAGGCAACAGGCAGGGTCATTAATTAAAACATAATATATAGGAGAATAGAAAGAAGGTTTAACACTAAAGATTCACCAAGTACTTTTTGTTTGTCATTGAATGTTGGTGTTAGAAGCAGCTGCTCCATCACTCCATCTAGCATCCTAAAGCAATGAATTGTCGACTTCTAGGCCTCAGTCAAAGAGGTTGTATTAAGTAATTTTCGTCATTTTTTATATATTCTTTTCAACTTATATGAATAGCAAAGCTCTCTTTAGACAGCTAGACAAAATAAAATACTTTTCATCACTTATTAAAGCTAACAATAGAAAACTTGTTAACTATAGCAAACTCAATGCCTAATTACTTAAAAACCGTCTTAAAGCATAATATGTCAAAGGAACAACAAAACTCCAAAGTTGTTGCGAGGGTTAAGGGTTATAATTTTATAACCTAATAGCTCCTACGTTTAGCACTTCATTATGGGCCGAAACCTGGACTCATGCAATAGTGTCAAAAAAAGTTTGTCACCGAGAATTGAATCTACATTGCTCTGATATGATATCAAAGAATTCTTCCGCTGCAACAAAACTCTAAAAGTGGTGAGAGTTGAGAGTTATACTTTTATACTCTAAGGAACTAGGTTTTAACATAAAGTACACTAATCATATATTTACAAATTTTAACACAAATATATTAACCATTTACTATTAATATGTACTCCTTACAATAACTCTTGTTTGAGCAATAACAAAATCATTTGGTACTAATAATTTCTTGAGATGATATAGTACAGGTAAATACAAGTATAAGACGTGTATGAGGCAAAATGACGGGAAAATTAAGTTAAACGCTGATTTTAGCCATCGTATCATCGATGGTCATTAGTGACCCATAGATGGGTGTGTTATCATCGATGGTTACATGAACTAATTGGTGAATTTCATAGACAGAATTTTAGCATATCGATGGTTTACAAGAACTCATCGATATTGCTCAAAGACCCATCGATGGTCGTGAGAAACCATCGATGGTAATGTCGACTGACTGTAGATTGATGTTTTAATCACAGTCGTTCACCATTACTTTCAGTCTCCAAATTCTACCACATTAAGGATATCTCTTTCCTGATCTATCGAAGGCTATATATTATTAAAAGAGATAGAGAGTAGAGAGTTTTAGGGTTTTAATTTGAGAAGAGATTTCATTGAAAGTTTTGACCCCCGGAGCCTAGACAATCTCTCTCTCTCTCTTTGCGCACAACACCGCTAGATCGTTTTAGCAAGGAGAGTTGCCTTGGATTCATCATCTACACCGCTCATCATTGTACTATGCTGAGATTCATTGAAAGATGGTTTGTTTATCAAAATGGCCGTAAGATCTTTCATATTTTTTGGTGCTTAAACTGTATTTGATTGGTTGTGCTTCAAACATGTTTTTACGGCGTACTCAAGTCGATGTTAATTGAGGGTTAGGACTAACTAGGGCTAGATGTTTACTCATTATGGAGAAGTAGGTTAGACGACTGGTTTCAGATAGATTTCAGGGTGCGGTCTTTGAAAGCCTACCGAATCGGGTTGTGATTCAGGAGAACTCTTGATATAGTCAGTAAGCCTCTTCGTGAGAAGGGAGAGTGGACATAAAATTATTATCCAAACCACTATAAAATCTTATGTGTCATTGGTTGGTTGTTTTTCGCTTTTATTTTATTTATTCCGCTGCATATTTTGTGTTTTTTAGCGAAAAATGTAGCAACCCTATCCACCCCCCTCCAGACTTGCATCTCAAATACAAATTTACGTTTAAACGTGAATAAGAAGTTGCTGAACCCAGATTTAAGTGCCTATGTAGTCAACTAAGCTTCAGATACAATTGCTCAAGCAACTTCCTCTCTTAGAATTTGCCTGAGCCTACCTAATCGTCGGGGTTCCTACACATCAGAGTGGCTTAAGCCCATGCTTGGGTTTCAAACATCAGCATACATTATTCACCTTATTACTTCAATTTCCCCCACCCCTGGTTCCATATATCCATATTTCACCCTTTTTCAACCTAATTAAACAAGTTCACCGATATCTCCACTCATCATCTTGTCTCTGTTTCCTTTCTCTAGTAATATCCATGCGGTACCGATAACACAAGTTCATTACAGATGAACCCACAATTCACAAAACCAGCTCCCAATTGCCAGAGCCTTGAAATTCCAATCCCCAAGAGCTCCATATGGCAAAATGTAGAAAACCCACCCCATAATTTCCCCCAGAATAATCATAATTTACTCAATTGGACATGCATATCCATCAAAAACCCACCAAGTGCAAGCATAAAGAGGAAACCCATATCAATATCACCCTCAAAAGAGCCCCAATCATGGCCACATGCCACCGAATACAAGACACCAACTATTTTCCCAACAACACAACAACGTTCTCATCTCTACTGATCAATAATCAACAAAATAACAAAAAAACCCACGTCAGAAATCAACTAAACAAGGCAATTGAAGCACTAACCTCCATTGATATGAACCAAGTCAGTCCCCAGGAAGAGGAAAAGAAGGAGAAGGGCCCTTTAAAGTTTTGACAAGGCTCTGAGTAGCGGCACCAGCCACTGAGAAGCTAATAAAAGGCAGGGGAGGAGGAAAAAGTGGAGACTTTTGGTTAGTTAGGAAAGTGCAAAGAAAGTGATCCAAATTATGAGAGAGAGAGAGAGAGAGAGAGAGAGAGAGAGAGAAAGAGGAGAAATTAGCAGCGAAGATATTGATAGCAATAGAGAGAAGCAAACCGGCAATTAGAAAGAGACACGGCGGAGAGCGCCAGCCAGCGGTCATGTTAGACTTTTCTCTAGTGCAATATTCAAAAACCGGGAAAAAAAAAAAGGAGGGGGGAGGGCGCTAGGCCCCTCAAAAATAAAGGTATATGGCCCAACCCCTATAATTTTTCTTATGTGTTTTACCTCCTAAAATATGGTCTGCTCCTTTTCACACTCCCAGAAAAAACTTTCCGAAATTATCCCTTCTCCTTTTCTTCTTCTTTTTCTCCTCCTCCTCCTCTCCCCTAACTGCTCCTCTCCCCTCTCTCTTCTCTCCTCCTCTTCTTCTTCTCTAGACCCTGGCCCACACCCCTCGCCCCTCCTCCCTCCCCGGGCCCCATCCCCGACCTCCTCCTCCTTCTTGGCCCCCTTAGCCCCGACGACCCCCGTCTTAACGTCCGCTTCCACGACACCCTCGTTGTCGATTTATCACTATAGCGGGACCTATTACTTGCTACTGCAAATGCTTGTGCTTAGGTATGTTTTCAGCATCTGTTTTCGGTTGCCTCCCTACACTGGTTCAAAGAAGGAGTAGCTTGTTCCTCTGTCAACTCCGGTGTTTCAAAATCCCTAGTCTCTATGGGAGATATAAAGACAATTTTCCTCGTTCATTATCACCTTAATGATTTTTGTGACGAAATTGATGGTATATGGTTTGGTTACGACGGGGGATTTGGTTACCATGGCTATGGAAGAGCTCATTGGCCTCGGCGAGCAAGGGTCATTTCGGCTAGCCTAAGGAGAGGTAAGAGGAACCGGTTAGAAATTGAAGCTATAAGGACTTGGAAGAGATTAGATGATGGAAAGCTCTCTAAGATTGACGATCAAGTACTTTGGAGAGATGATGAAGTAGAAGGACTAGACTGAAAATTACATTGATGTGTTGTCGGTTGTTGTGATCTTATGTTCTTGGATTCAAAGTTTTGAGTTGTATGTATATATTGTATTGAGAGTTATTGGCTAAATGCCCTGATGTGTTGTCAATTATTGTAGAAATTATGTTCTGGGATTCAAGATTATTGAGTTCTTGTATATCTTTGGCAATTATAGGGTCATCATTATTTGGTTATCTACGAGTTGTTCAGATTTTACTTGTGGTAGGATTACTTTGATAGAATTCTTGCCAAACTGTTGAGTTAAGGGTCATAGTCTCTTAATTTTATTGTGCTTTATAGGACAGTAATTTGAATGAATTTAGCGACCCATTTCAAAAATATTAAAATATAAGGATTAATATGGAAAATCCCAGAAAACTAGCAGAAAAACAAAAAAGGGAAAAATAAAAACAAGAGAAAGAAAGGGGAAAATATTAACTATAATAGTTATATGTTGACTTTTAACAGAACGTGTTAACTTTCATCCTAGTATGTTAAGTTTTCATATTAAATTTTAACTTTCGCTGCTTTATGTTAACTTTCATCCAAACCTGTTAACATTCACTGCTTTATTTTCGTAGAAGCGTTTAAAAAAAATCTATGACCAAGTCTTTTATCTCATCCTAAATTATGAGAAGCGAAGTGTGTCAAGAGATGAAATCGAGATATTGCGACCAATTACTACTAAAAGAAAGTGAAGAAATAGAACTAGACGTATAAACAACAGAATAATTTACAAACATTCACCGAAATGTTCTCGATGCAAAGCTACAAGTCATAGTCATGCTAATTGTAACGATGCAATTGGTGATTGGTGTGGATATATTGCTTTTAGTACAATACTTTTGGTAGATCAATGTAAGTTGTCAAGACTTTTGTAGCACATTGTATTATGTTTTTATAATATCTAATATTGTAAGTCTAATTATATTATGTATTCAAGTAATATCGGCTGTAAGAATGTAAAAATTTTATTATGGTGAATGTTAACATGTTCAGTTAAAAGTTAACATGTTATGATGAACGCTTCATGTTCAGTTAAAAGTTAATATATTATGGTAAAAGTTAACATGTAATAGTAAATATTAACATATTATGATAAAAGTTGACATGTTCAGCTGATAGTTAACATATGTTATGAAGAAAATTAACATATTATTATGAAAGTTAGCATATAAACCTAAACGTTAACATATACACCTAAAAGTTAACATATACAGATGAGAGTTAACATGTTCATGTGAAAGTTAACATGTCCAGGTTAAAGGCAACATTTTTAGCTTAAATTTTAATTTTAATTATATTTTATACGCTGGAGCATATTTTAGAAAAAAAGAATAATCACGACATGATTAGACTTACAATCTTAGAACTTTCTGATTTTTACATGTTAGCATTTCAGTTAGAACTTTTAGTCTTTCAAACACATCGAATTTTAGTAATTTCGAAAAGTTTTTCCTAGGAGGGTGTGAAAGGGGGCAGACCACATTTTGGGGGGTAAAACATATGGGAAAAACTATGAGGGACTGGGCCACACCGCCTTTATTTTTGATGGGCCTAGACACATTTTTCCAAAAAAATAATAAGAAAGAGGTATTGCCTATGAGCATCAATTAGAAGAGAAAAGTGTAGGGTCCATTTTCTTTTCTTTTTTTTAATTGATAACTTATCTAGGGAACCCACATTTCTCTCTCTTGTTGTGTAGATATAGTAAAGAAAAGAATAGTCGTAGTAGTTAACATCTTCCTAACTAAAAACGGGTTAATTTCAGAATAAAAACCCCTCAAATTCCGGGGTTTTCACGCAACCCCACTAAACTTTTACATTCACTCCCTTGAACCCCTACATGTGAACGGCAAACAGCTAAGTACTTTTTAGAGAAAATGAATCCCGACTTTGATTGAGGGATGGCCGATTTTCTATAATGAGAATGACTAAATTAGGTTTTCTTTTTTCCTCTAAAGAATATGTCATGTTATCTCTCTGTCCAAAGGGACTATCTACAAACCCCTAAAGTTCAGAGGCGTTTCTCAAATCCAAATAGTTCAAGGGGTTATCTGCAACAATCCCAAGTACAGGGTTTTCTGAAACTAACCCTTAATTTTTGGTTCTTCTATTTCATATCTTTACAAATTACACAGCGGCTGTATTTAGAAAACTAAAGCATACTGGCATGTCGCTCTCTTCTCTGTTATGGTTGGGGTATAAGAGCCCACAAACTATGAAGGGCCCAATAACTAAAGTTCTTTTTTTTTTTTTGAAAAGAATAACTAAAGTTCCTTAAACATGTTTCCGGGTTTGAGATTTGTTTTTTCCACTTTACAATAGAAAACAAGTGTGGACTATGCTGGTGAGTCATCAAATTTTAAAATTTTAATATTTTGGATTCAACATTTTTCTTTCTTTTAGTATGAAAATAGTTTAGATGAAGTAGTTTATCTACTACAACCTTTTATTTATGCCCCAATACGTTGTTCGTTATGTTAGTCGTGTTCACCAAATCAACGGAAAATATGATTTAAAATAAAAGGATAATGGTTATTGAAAGGGCTGAATTAATGGGCCCTCAATGAGTTTCAATTGGAGGTGTTAATGACTCTTAATTAGATTTAATGGGAGGCTTGTATTCTGGGAAGGAGGTGCCTCGGCTAAATTACCATGTTGGTATTCTAGGTTGATTTTTTTTTCAATATGGTATTTATTTATGCTCCATCATTAATATGATATTTTATCTTGTGTATTGGTGTCAATAAGGTTTTTTCGCGCTAGCAATGAGAATTCTGGCCAACTGTATTTGTTTATTTTGAAATTTATTACATCCACCTAACCTATAAAAAATATTAAATCTACACAATCCCTCTTATTCAACCTCCTCCAATTCAAATTTCTTCCATCCCTTTAGTAATAAGATCCGTTTTGAGCCACTTCTTTCTCTTTCAACCTTCCCCAGTTTAAATCCTAATCCGATCCCAACAATCTTTATCCAAATTGGTATTGATTTGGATGAAGGTTGTTGGGATTGGATAAGAGTTTAGATTTGAATTGGGAGAGTGTAAACTAGAAAGATGGGGCTCTATTGGTTAGAGAGAAAGAGTGAAGGTGGATCTTACGGAGTAAAATGGTGAAAAATTTTCGAATTTGAGGAGATTTAAGGTGAATGGGAGTGTGAATTTAATAATTTTGATAGGCTATAGCTAGCTAGATGATGAAAGATTTTTTTTCCAAAATATAAAAATGCAATTTCCAAGTTAAAATATCATACTAACGTCAGAATAGAAATAAGTACCATATTCAAAAATAGGGTCAAATTAGAGTACCAATCTCATAATTTTAGCTAGGCCTGTCCATCCGGGCCGACCCGGCCCGGCCCGGAAATTCGGGCCCGGGCCGGGCAAAACCGGGACCCGGACCCGGACCCGGGTACACCGGGCCGGGTTCCGGGCTGGCCCGGGTGATTTTACTTTTTTTTCCAAAATTTTTTAATGTTATTTAACTTATAAATTATAAAAAAAAGACAAGAAAAATAACAAAAACAATAATTTTATTAATTACTTAAAATGACATAAATTACAAATAAGAAATGATAAAAACATATTCTTTATTAATAATTGATAAATCAGTTACAAATTACAAGTACAAATTTATTTTGGAATTAATCGTATCACAATAGATAAGTAAATCCCAACTAGGTTGGCACCTACTCACCTATATCACTATCATTTGCAATTATTTCCAAAATAATTCTTTACAAATTGTAAGCTAAGATATAAAAACTACAATCTATTCTTTATATCTATCTGCTAGTCCCAATTCTTCAAATTTATCTTCAATTCCAGCCATCCGATCGATGCCTTGCGTTCGCTTCTCGTACCTCCACCAATCTTGTAAGCACATCACCGCTTGTACAGTATACGGATCCAAGCATGTCCTGTGATCGTCGATCAAACGACCTGCTGTGCTGAAGGCGGATTCCGAAGCTACCGTCGAAACCTGCACTGTTAGTAAATCACGAACCATGGTGGAAAGTATAGGATATGAAACTGATCCATATACTTTCCA